GCAAACACCCGAAAGACCATCTTGCCGTACAAACCTGCAGAATTTTTCAAATAAATAATAGCATGCATCAAAAAATCTGGCCAGCACGCATTTTAGCTGCTTCTTTCAGAGAATACTTGCCTAAAGTCAAACTCCGAAATCCAAAGTCAGAAAGCTTATATTACGATCTTGGGCTATTACAAACAGTCAGTCACTAAGTTCCCTGAATTTCAGCTTTCTAGCTTCTCTAGTCATGAACTTGAAAGGCAATGCCATCCACATACATATCCACAATTTACACACAGACACACACAATACATACATACACACATACATATAAACATACATATGCGCATACATACATGCATACACGCATACACACACATGCATACACACACATACACACACATACAAAAATACATACATACACACACACCACACACACATACACTCATACATGTATTTGTCTCAACAACAAGAACTTTAAAAAAACGCACAAAAGCCAAAAATATCACCAATTTATTGATGCTTAATGGTGATAATAAATCACACTTAAAAAATCGTCATAATGGATGACACCGCGCAATTCCGGCAGGCAAGTTGAAACTGCGAAAGGCTGTAGATAACTTCAATCGACCTGTAGATCCCAGTCCACGTATTCCGGCAAAACTCCACTGCATGCTGGTTTACATACTCATCCTACATTCATAGACATCTAAGACCTATTTTTGTAACTATCCGAATAGAAAACGGGGGATATTCTCTGTACAGTTGCGAGCTAAAGATTTTAAATTCAGCTGTCGCGAACGCTTGTACCCGTACGATCGTGATGTAGCGCTTTTATATTCCTACACGAATCCCTCATTTCAGTTTCAAAAGTAAACGCAAAATTACGCCCTCAGTACTGTTTATCTCCATTCCCTATCTCACAAACTATCACTTAATCAAAACATATTACATCCTAAAAATAAGCGAAGAGTAGCCAAAATTTCGTTTCACTTACGTATGGCAAAAATATTCGTTTTCCTTCACAGAACTTCGACTGGGCACAGCAGAACGCTCAACCAATAATTTCGCAGTAAAACTCATAAATTCCTGAAAATACAGCAGGCACTGAATAACTATATTTAAGATGCCTGAGCCGAGAGGCTTTTACAAACTTTAGACAGTTGAAAGTAACCCAAGAGATAGCAGGTGCCAAGAGCAACCACTGCTGGCAAAAACTATCCAAAGATCCTCTTTTGTATGTTATTTGGAAGCAATTCGATGGCGGGTTTGCCTCTTTGGCATGCCTCCATCCCATTCCACCATCAAAACGAGTTGCTTGTCTACTGGAGTTTTCAAACCCTCAATTTTCATTGCAAGAGTAACACTGTTTGACAATGCGTTATGACTGGTAACTTTTTTTACAAATTTAGTTAACACATAGTCAAAGATGCGCGCAGAGAAGAATGTAAATTCAATTTTGCAGTAAGAAAAGCATTTGCAATAAAAAACAACTAGCCTATTGTCGAAGTAGGTGGGAAATTATGAAAATTAGTCACTAGAGAACCACGGTTAACGCTGATCCTACCACCTGTTTTTTTTTTTTTTTTTTT